ATGCAGTCGCCTCGCACTTGAGCACCCATGATTTGAAGGAATCCTGGAGTCCCTCCACCAAGGAAGTGCTGCAGAGCCTCATGAAGTCTTGGGTGCAATACTTTGGCTATCCACGCCAAATCAAAATGGACAAGGAGGGAGCTCATCGAGGCCGCGACCTAGAAGAATGGGGTGACAAGAATGGCGTTGAGCTCATGTTCGTTCCTGCTGAAGCTCATGGGCAGATCGGGAAAGTGGAGAGCATGATTGGCCGCCTGAAGTACATGCTCGATCGTCACCTCCGAGGTCAAGAAGATGATCCTGTTGCGGCAGCATGGCATCTCATTGCAGCTCACAACAACCTCTACCGCAAAGGAGGTTACAGCCCATCACAATGGGTATTTGGCAAGGAGATGACAGACTCCTACCGTCTTCATCAAGGATCAGATCTTCCTTTCTGGGCTTCTGTGAACTTTGACAGCAAGTTCCAAAAGCAACAGGAGCTGAGGCAAGCTGCCGAAAAGAAGTACAAGGAGCTGGCGGACTTGGAAAGACTGAGCAAGGCGACCAACATGAGGAGTACACCTCCTAGCCACTTCTACCCTGGCGACTTGGTTTTCTACAAGAGACATCAAGCACCTCGAGAAGGTCGATCACATCAGCTTTTGGATGTGCCGAGACGCCAAGTGGCTCGTTGGTATGGCCCTGCCAGGATCCTTGGCTTAGAAACCAAAGTCACCTACAACGGGAGCATTCGTCAACCTCACCGCATTGCTTGGGTGATTAGCCAAGGAAGATTGAAAAGAGTCCACACAGATCAGCTACGCCACAGCTCTGAGCGAGAGAGGCTCACCAATGAGCAGTTCCATGATGTGCTGGCAATGCCATGGACGTTTCAGGACATCTCCAAGGCATTGAACTATGGATCCTATGATGATTTGGTAGAAGATCCAAGTCTTCGTCAAGGGCGACCACATCTTCGGCGCACTCAGCGCTCTAGAAGTCGAGCGAGAGGAGGCCAAAAGAGGAAAGGAAAAGAAGATGCTGTTGAGCATCCGGAAGACGAAGAAGCACCTCCGATACCAATGGATGAATACTCTCCTTCAGAGCCGCCGAGACCAGAAGAAGAAGACGCAGAAGATCAATCAGATCTCCTACCTCATGAGGAGATCGATGGTGAGCGCCTAGCAACGGATCCTCAATACTTCCCATTTCCTCCACCTGTACAAGGTCCACTCTTTGAGCATGAACCTTTCCTTCGTGCCCGTCAACGACATGAACAACTGGAGAGGCCTCAACATGTCCAGAGAGAAGAATTTTTGAGGAGTCAAGCTGCTGCTTCATCAGATCCGCCTCAGACACGAAGCAGATCTCCCCATGGACCTTCGTCCCCTGTGAACTATCTCACCGCTGAGGACGATGAGAACCTGGTCTTCAGCGTGATGCTGCCAGAGCCGACAACGGAGGCAGAGTGGCGGGCCATTGTCAAAGACCCCAGCAAATTCATAGCAAAACGTGTGGCCAAGGGGGTGGAAGTGTCTTGGAGTAAGCTCAATGCGGCACAGCGCAAAGCCATGAAAGAGGCCAAGCAGGTCGAGATCAAGGAATGGATCACCAGCCACGTTTGCAAGGCTGCAATTGGCCATGTGGATCCCTCTCGCATTATGCGCATGAGATGGGTCTTAGTGTTCAAGGCCGCTGACAAAGGCCAGGTCAAGGCCAAAGCAAGAATCGTGATCCTGGGCTTCTCTGACCCTGATGTCGGCCTCATCAACACGAAGTCTCCAACTATGTCCCGAAGAAGCAGGCAACTGTTGCTACAACTCTGCACTCACCGAGGATGGCAGCTTCTCAAGGCGGACGCCAAAGCCGCATTTCTGCAGGGTGACTCCAATCAACAGGCACGTGGCATCTTTGGAGTTCCTGTGGAAGAGTTGCGAGAAGCAATGAACCTCCAGCAAGGTCAGGTGGTACAGATCATGCGTGCTGCCTATGGCTTGACAGTGGCCCCTCGTGAATTTTACCTGCATGTTGACAAGATTTTGCAGGGGCTTGGGCTGGAGCGATTGGTGACAGAACCCTGTTTGTGGCGTTTTAGGGCCATGGTCCAAGGTGAGCTCCGTACCCTTGGCATGATTGGCAGCCACGTTGACGACTTTCTCATTGTCGGCAACGAGCAGGACAAAAGATGGAGCCAAGTGATTGAAAAGTTTCATGCCTCCATGCGCTGGTCTCCGTGGGGGGTTCCTCCTCTCACGCATTGTGGTGTTGAACTGCAACAGCTTCCTGATGGTGGCTGGAGATTAGACCAAGCCAGTTTCTGCAGTGAGCTCTCCCAGATCAAGGAGGATGGCAAGCACAAAGAGCTGACAGCTCAAGGGCGCACTCAATGCCGCGCCATTTTGGGCGCTGTGCAATGGCGGGTCTATCAGACTGGACCTCAGCATGCAGCAAAGTTGGGACACCTTCAGTCATTGCTGAGCAAAGCAGACAGATCCATCATCCCTGAGGTCAACCGCCTTGTTCGTGAGGTGCACGGCCAGAAAGAGATCGGCCTGACGGTTCACCAGCTGTGTGCTGAGAAAGATGATGATTTGGTGCTGGTGGCTTGGAGCGACGCTGCATTGGCGAATCGTGCTGACCTCGGAAGCACAGGTGGCTTCATCATCGGCTTTGTGCACAGCTCCATGATGGATGATGGGGTGAGAGGACCAGTAAATGTCATGAGCTGGTCCTCCAACAAGCTGAGGAGAGTCTGCCGATCATCACTTGCCGCGGAAACGCAGGCACTGGCAGACGCAGAGCAAGAACTGATGTTCCTGCGCGTGCAATGGCAGGAAATGCTGGGTAGAGAAGTGGACATCACCAAACCCGAGGAGGCAGCAAAGCTTACCAGAGGAGCCCTGGTGATTGACGCCAAGGCATTGTTTGATGCTGCAAAGAATGGTTCCCTGCAGACGAGCGCCTTTTCCATGAAGGACAAGTACTCTGCGCTGGAAATCCTAGCTCTGGTGCAGAACTTGGAGAAGCAGGGCACTGAGCTTCGATGGTGCAATAGTGATGCCCAGCTAGCTGACGGACTGACAAAAATGTCGGCACAAGATCGGCTGAAGAAGTTCCTGATCGGAAATCAGATTTGGAACCTTTGTTATGATGAGAAGTTCACCAGCGCAAAGCGCTTGAGAAGGCAGGCCCGAGAAGACGAGGCCCAGGACATCCAATGGGGCTAGGAGCTCAAGACACTCACATGACGGTTTCAGGGGTGTGCAAGATTTTCAGCCTCCAGAGTCGAAACCTTTGAAAGATTTCCTTGATTTGTTCGAACCGGCATGAGCATGTCTTGAGCACCTCACCTGTGGCCATTTGTCGCTTGCCTCGAACACAGGAATTCCTTCGGCCAAGGTTGGTTGAAACCAACCCCGTGCTACCGTGGACCGCCTCCGCCATAGGAGAAAGCAGCGCCGAGCAGCTTTTGGTTGGGACGATCATCGGATCGTCGAGAACGTTTGATTGGTTTGCACTACACCCTTGTAGAGGTCTCTGAGATCCCCCTTTGTTTGGTGCTAGCTTTAGGCTACCAGTGCGGTCCTTGCATGACTTAACAGAACAAGTGGCACAAGAAATTGAAAGAAATCCCACAAGGGCACAACATCCTCAGAACAACGACGCAACCGTGAAAGTGACAGAAAAGGCAGAACGGGCCCAGCAATTCCGCAGCAACTAGAATAAGGGAGGCAGACCTCAACGACAACCATGACAAACAAGGACAAGGTTTTTGCAAATTCAATGTGCTGGACAATGTGCCAGACAAAGAATCGCATAATTGTAGATTGGAAACGCTCACATGTCACAAGAGCATCATCCTTTTTTGCGGCCTGAATCCTTCTTTGCGCAGGTGCTCGATGACGCAGGCCATTTGGAGGGTTGTGGGAGAGACGGCCTGGCAGGATGGAGAAGCAAGTGTTGGTGTCGTATATGGAGCAACTTGAGTTACCATTGAGGAACGTGTTGGTATGTCATGCGTTTCTTGTCAGAAGTGTTGAGTCAATATCAATAGCCAGTGAAGGGTGTCGACTTGGCTTTGAACACTCGCTCTTCATCAGCCTCCAACATGTTGCTTCCACACCTTGGTGGGTGTGGTAGCAGTAGTGGAAGTGCCTGTGTCATTTGTGTCATTTCTTTTGCCTGTTCAGATGGATTTGTGATGATTTGTGCTGGCTTTGAAGAGTGTTCAAATCCCGCTGCTGCTAGGAATTCCTCCTCCACCTCAGCCTCATCCAGTGGCACGGCCAAGTGCTGGCTGGCAAGAGAAGATCGGACAATCCCACGCCACTCGTGCAGCTTTTGAGGGAGCTTCCAGCACTTGAACATGTTCAAAGAGTCTGTCTATCGCAGACAAGCTGAGGTGATCTCCGTAGGCTCAGCTTCTTGGAGCAAATCTTGAAGTCCAATTTGCGGTGAAAGCCAGTTCGAGGTTTTCTGTGCAGGTCATGAACACCAGCAAAATAAGTGGTGCGGGTGATGAACACCAATAACATGCGTGGCAACATGCAGAGGAAGAGAAGGTTTCAGTCGCTTCTTGATCACTGCTAGAGGCTCCCAGTTTGTCAGCAGCTTCCTTGAGGATTGGAGGTTCTAAGATTGGTTCTGGACATTTTTTATGATTCATGTCCAGAACCAATCTTTTTTCTGGACATATAAGATTGGTTCGTCTAAGAGTGGTTCTATAGATTCATAGACGACATTTTTTTCAAGCTTCAAAGGGAGCGGCGGGAGCTGAGGTGGGGCACCCTTTCAGGTGTGCAGAAGCCTGCAAATACGTCAAGCGCAAAGGCAGATGAACGTGTGATTGCGCGTGTTGATATGTGTTGATGAAAGGTTTCCAGATGGGACATAAACACCAAAAGGCACTGTCACAACCTGTGATTAGGCGTGGGAAATGGAAAGCAAGTTCCTAAACTTTCTTGCGAGCTCAAAGTGGATTCTCGGGTTCTCTTATCGTGTCGGAGGCGGCTGCCGCGATGGTGCGAATTGCACAAAATGCCATGAGTGCTTCTGGAGCCGATTGCCAGCAGGAGATTCATGGGGAGGGCCGCAGCCGGGCAGCCAAGAGCATGTCCCATGTTGGCTCCATCAAAAGGCTGCTTTTCTCTCGCTGTCTGTGTATGCATTTTTGACACCGATGCAAAGACCGGGACAGACAGGGAAAACCTGGTTGCTTGCGGAATCGCTTCCGGACGACCCATTTGCTTGGGATTATATATTTGGACCCAGTTCTTTGTTGGTATGCAATGTAGGATAATGCAGGCGGCATAGAGATCTAATTACACAATGGAAGCTCGTTGAGAAGATCTGGAGAGAACTGACCTGTGACCTCGTGCGAGAATTCTTGTGATTCAATTGATTCTGCCAAGTTGGATCCTCGGCCTTGATATAGCTTGTTCTGAGGGCGCTCTAAACTAGATGAGTCTTCCCCTTCATCCCTGGTCAGGAGAGGGACTCGAGCAGCTGAAGATTCAGGAACCTGTGTCTCTTGGACCTCTAAACTCGTGTCCAGTTGCCGTTCCTATCCCATTGCCCATTGCCGCTGGTTGTGGGTATGTCATGGTATGTCATGGTATGTCATGGCCGCTCTGCCTTGGCAACACCGAGCTCTGCCTTGGGGCATCGGTGCCGCTTGCTTCCAAACTGAGGCATCCTGTGGAAACAGCACAGCCTTTCTCTGTGGGCTCCGCTGGTCATCCCTACACATGCTCAGCAGCTTGCAAGTATGTTTGGAGAAAGCAAGGATGCCGCGATGGTGCAGACTGCCCCAACTGCCACTATTGCAAGTGGCAGCGGCGTCCAAAGGAGGAATCCGAGAGCCCCACACTGGAGGGTTTGGACTCCATGCTGGTGAATATTCCTCCACCTCCAGGCCTTACTCCAATGCAGCCGATGGAAGCGAAGACCCTCGGCTTATCGGATAGCTCAGGTGACTTCCGTGCCTTTTGACACTTGCTTTTACTTGAGAACATGGAGATTTCCTTGGACACTTGCATATTTCACTGCAAGGCCACAAGAGAATCTTTCTTCCCTGGGCTCCCTTGGCCATCCGTACAGTTGCTTGGCCAGAAATGTGAGGTGAAGCAAGATCCTGTCAAGATGACCTGACAGCCACCTGCTTAGGTTGTGGGCTGGCCTGCAAATATGTCGGCAAGGCAAAAGGCCCAGCAGCGCGCATGGGTTTTGCTCAAACTGTTTTGAGACACAAGGTCACAAGGCAAGCTCTGGTTAGAGAGATCAAGAGACGCTCAGAGGCTTAATCATGTGTTTGCAACAAAACGCCTCGAAGTTTGGCCATGCCATGCAAAGCCCCTGCTGTTGTCAGGCTGCAAAGATGGTACACTGTGTCCCAACTGCCACTTGTGCCGTTGGAGTCGCTACGCGAACCTGAAGGTCTTTCACCTGTGAGCGGCCACAGTGCGCATCTGCGCATCTCCAGTGGCAGCCCCGGAGAGCAAGTTTTCTGCGGTTTGATGCGAGAGAATCTCACTTTGCCGGGAAACAGCAACATGTTGGGTGAACGCGGGGGGTTTGCCCTGACCGCAACATACCGAGGGTGCAAAAACCCTTCTTTTTACAGGGTTTCGTGGGTTTCAGGACACTCAACTTATCGTCTTGGAACTCATGAGTTCCAAGACAATAAGTTGAATGCCTTTTGAAGGCCGTTCGGTCCGGTCCCCGGCAGACGTCAGTGTTGTTCCCAACTGAGCCATTTGAGCTCACTGTACATTTGAGCAATGTGGCAATGAGTCTCTATGAACTGACCCCACCCCCCCCACCCCACCCCCCGTTTTTGCTTTTGGGCCCCTGTTCAAGCTGTTGCTTAACCATGGCTACTGTTACTTCCGCAATGCATGCTTCCGCCAATACTTTGGCTCAAGATACACTTTGTGTGATAGAAAAGCCGCTTAGCTCGCCTTCGCTCGCACGCTCTTGTGGGACTTGCTGGTCTGTAAGCCGACCTGTTGTTTACCACTCCACTGCGGGGGGCTCCACCCTCACCCCCCAACCCCGAAATACCTGTCAACTGATCGGATACATGTTACCGGCGGGCAAACACCCCCGTTGGCCCAACATGTTGTTGATTGCCTGAGGCCTTCGAGTGATCACTTGAAGATGTCAGAGCCAACTTGCTGCTTTGGACCAGTCATGAGGGTGTAATCCTGCCTGATTCACTCCACTCCTTTTGTGGTATTTGATGTTTGCTGCACAAGCCCCTTTCCAGCGATTAATTCGACACCCCAGCGCCGTTGGTTGGAGTGGCAGGCTTTTGTGCTTTTGCAAGACAAGCAGTGGGCACCACCACAACTTGCAAAGCTTGGTAAGTAGCCGGAACAAAGGTTTTCCTTGGGGAGATCTATTTTCCCATGCCACAGATTCAAGCACTTTCTTTTGTGTTCCGTTTGGGATCAAATTATGCTGCTTATATGGATGCAACTTGTCCACCAGGGATGCCAGGTGTTCCGCCTTCCACAAGGCTCTCCCAATCTGAGCACCGGTGGAGCTGGAGCCGTTTGGGAGAGGCTGCCGCATTTTTGCACTTTGAGGCTCACTTAGCTTGTCTAAGCACGTGTAAGCACGGGAGAAGGCTGCACCTTCCCCTAAACTCGTTTCAAGCGTGGAAGGGTGCTGCCGGAGTTGGATTTTTTTTGATGCCTTCAGCTGTGCTGACTGCCTGCGGTGAAATGACGGGCTAAGCGGAGGTTGAGTGGAGGCTGAGCATGCGTTTGGAGGACGCGTGCCTTCCGGGCTCTGTAACAAAAGAAGAACCGGACAGTCCCCCGCCTCTCCGTCAGATTACGGCGGCACAGGCAAAATGTTGACTTTTACATGAGAAGCCACTCTGATATCTACCTCTACCCACAGCTGTTGTATGATGTTCTCCCTGTCTTGTTCTTCATGGCAAAATGGAAAGAGTGAGCACTTCTGACATTCTCCATTTGTTCTTCACAAGACTCCAGAAGGTCATGTGATTCGGTGAAGGGTAACAACAGTTCGAGCCCAATGTGCTCGTGGCTTCCATATTTTTTCATAAGGTTCGAGTACGCTGCCCTTGCTTGCCCACGTGTAAGCGTGCTCGAAGAGTGGCTGCAAGCAAGACTTTAGGGCTCACCAATAAAACAGGAGGTGTCTTTGGAAGGAAAATGTCTCTTGCAGTCTACTCTGACTCCTTTGCCTGCTTGAGTGTTGGTGGCTTGCTGACAGGACATCCGAGGAAGGAGCTAGAGGAAGGATTCCTAGCTCTTGTCCCTTGTCCTTAAAGAGCACAGCCACGCACCAGATCACAAAGAGAGCGGGGGACTTTTGCTGATGGAATTCATACCGGGAAACCTTTGAAATGACGATCCCTTGCAGCAGCTTAGAGAGCGTTGCACAGACTTGCACAGATTTCAAAGGAAATAGCCGTGCGCGGCTGATGGGAGGTCGGAGGCCATTGCCGAAACTCCTACCGACTCATTGCCATTGACCCAACGAGTCAAGGCTTATTCAATTGGACCGGAGATAGGAACATGGGTACCGATGCATGCACTCCCAACGAGACCTGCATGGGTCGTTCGGCCCAAATCTCGATGGACAGAAGTGAATTTTGCGAGGCCTCCTTGAGAAAGTCACGATACTGGTGACCACCTCGCCGATCCCGTCGCATCCTTCGCCCATACTCCTGAGGCGGGAGGTGATGGTGGAAGCAAACAGATGCCATGACGACAGGGAACCTGCGCTCATTTTGGAGGGAAATGGTGTTAGGTTCGCTTCGTTTCTTCGTTTGCCTTTTCACCTCTTTTTAGCTTCACTTGTTGACCTTCGCTTTTCAGGACGCTGTTTGGATCCTTCCAAAAGCACCTTGCAGCGGCGGTGAACTGCCAGATAGTCTTGGACACTCACCTGAACAGAAGTGGTTCCCACCTTTCTGTCAACAGTAATTCCCTCAAGGCCACAGTAAACATTCTATTTGTATGAACAGAACAAGCAAAAGTTGCAAAGTCGTGGTAGAGAATGCGCGCATATGCAGTGTGGGTGCTTTGATTCTACCTTGAGATGAGGAGCAGCCCCTTATGAAGGTCTACAGATAATCACTTTGCAGCAGAGCTCAGGTTTGTGATGGGTTTGCACGATCTGATGGAAAAGACCAACTGTGTAGTGAGGAGGCGCGACGGTGTGCAATTGAGTTGACTGTTGTTGGTTCAGGCCAGGAAGTCAAAATCCAGAGAGAATCGCACAATGGATTTTGTATCGATTCGGTGGCATTCTGCACACTATGATACTTTTGCTTTCTTGCTTTGCAGCTCATTATTTATGGTTCAGGCCTATAGCAGGTTCTTGACCAGCATCCAGGACGACGTTAGGGTTCAACGCATGTACAAGCATTTCATAGTGTGAACAATGCGTGTGCAGTAGACTGCAGCTGTTCAAAGGTGAAAGCTTTCTAGATAGTTGCTATCCATGTCTGCTTGAAGATCCAACCTAATAGCCATGGCCTCCACCCTAACAGCGATGGCCTCCACCCTAATAGCGGTGGCCTCCAAACCTAAGAGCGATGGCCTCCAACAACCCGCCAAATATATCCTTCCACCAGGGCGTTATTTGCAGGAGCTTTGTGCTGCTGGAGAGCTGGGAAATTGTCGAGTCCTTGTGCTGAGGCCCCAGCTGGTCAGCTGGCCGGTATCGACGGTCTCAATACCCATGGAACGGATTTCTCAGTACCTCGCAGAATGGGAACATGATTCACTCGGAATTGCTGAATGGCGGGGATAGTTCACAGTATATGACTGCTCCATGGAAAACAAATCTCAGGCTACTGCGCAACCAAACAGCAGATGACAAAAGCATGACAAACAAACGACAAATTAATGATGATCCCAAATGCAAAACAAACGCACAAATATAGAATCAATGATTTCCAGTCCCTGGCTGGCAGAAATCTCACAATACTAGTCTGACCCAGATGGATAGCTTTTCAATGGTTTTTTGGGCAATTGGTGAGAGGGTCAGTGGTACTGCTAGATCAACATCAGTATCTGCCAGGATTGTAGCAATGAATTGGGGCCCGAGCTTAGGCCGGAGCTTAGATTAAGCATTTGCCTCTAGCTGTTCAGCTGTTGAAGTGTTATTTAACCTTGTGTGCCTTTGCCTGGCTGAGGCTGCAATCCTGCCACGGGTGCCCTTGCCATGAAATTCAGCCATCCAGCCTCCTACTAGCAAAGAGATGTAAAGAGAAAACGTTGAGTTCGAAGACTCCCAGGTACGGCTTGGCGTTGTCTGCAGCCCTTTCTGAAGTTGCCACAGAGTTCGTGCTAGTGGTACGCTGTTTGAAAGTTCCTGTGACAGGAGAATCACTCACAATCCCAACCCAACTGTGTTTTTGGGCCGGAGATAGTCGTATTGCGAGAGCGATCAGTGTGAACAGCTGTTCCATACATTTCGCCCCGGTTGCACAGTTTCTGGAATGAATAGAAGCGAACATGAGCAAACGCAACTGACACAATTTGGAACCAACGGCTGAAACAGGTGCACCTTCAGTTTCGAAAGAACCTTTCTGAAGGTACAACATGACTGGCTCTTTGTCAGAGATGTTGACTTGACCTTGGTAGCGTGGAGCTTGGAGTGCATCGATGCTATGTACATAATGATTGAGCTGTATGTAAGGCAACCTGAGATGGGTGTAGTGGGAAAAGAATGGAGAAGAGGGTTGCCAAGTTGCTGAGAGAGGACAAGTATTGTAGTTGCCGAGTTGCCTTATTCCGACTGATTCCCAGTCTCTTTTCCAGGGTTTCGAGGCGTGCAAAGCCAGAAGGTACACTCCTTTCTACCTGAGGTGTTTCGACCTGTCGATGGTTTTTGGCTCCGTTTGGTGCCCATTTTTTTTTCCTCAATTTGAGCACTTGTTCCTAATAGCAAACATTGTTACTACTAGTAAGGCACTTGTTACTAGTAGCGATGCACTTGTTTCT